AAAAAAAATCAGTAAAATATATTTTTTAAAAAAAAGGAATCCACTGACATAGTATTTTAAAGGGTTGGTTAATTCCTTTTTCAGAATAACAAACATAATTTACTTGTAGAAATAACTTCCTAACCAGTAGAATTCATTTTGTTTCTTTTCAGTTAAAGAACTTCCTAATTTTGTTTCCAGTGATTAGCAATGAGTACTCTCTTCATTTCAGATCAGTTCTGAAAGACAACTGTCATAGTTTCAGTTAATTTTAATTTTACTTAATTTAATAAGTGTCACCAATAACGGCATATTGAGTCTGATTGATTTCAGACTATTCCACAAGAGTTATCCTCCAAGTTAGCACTCTACAAAACTGAAGTAGGTACCCACAGTATTTATATTATGCTGTGGTCACAGTTTTCTCTCCTAGAAAAGCCTTTCTTCTAGGTTTGATTCTGATAGCCTGCAGTGCCAAGCACAGTTTAATTGTAATTAATATCTATGGTTTAATTGTAACTTTTAAAGACAGTTTTCCAAGACTTAAAGAAGCAAATAGTGAAATTTTTCCTATATGACAGGTGATTGGATAAATATATTGGGACAAGATACTTCCAAGAATTAAAAAATGGCAGTATTTACAGAGGTCTAAATATAAAAATTAGTTTGACACCAGTTTGTGCATAGATCCTCACCTTCTCTTTATGCCAACATTACCTCCTCAAAACAATCCACAAACTTTATGAAGGTTGAACCTGGGTAGTGACTGAGAGACGCCAGAAAAATCCATAAAATTTTTCCCCTAGTAATTTGGGGAAAAATTTATTCTTAGTCTCCCTAAGGCAGGCCTGACTATCCATGTACAAAGTTTTAGACCTTATTTTATTCATCTTTGTATCTCTAGTACAAGTATTTTCAGATGTGACTGTTTCATCTTTTGATATTTGCAGTTTGAGTACAGAAATATAAGAGGTAGGCAGATAATCTTCCTCTTATGCAAGAAAAAAATATTCAGGTTTTTTTTGTCACTTTTAATAAACTAGTGAATCACTACTGTGTTCCAGGTACTTTTCTGGCTGTTAGGGATTAATTAAAGAAGGTTTGATATATACTAAAACTCTTGGTTTTTCCACACTATATTGAACCTCAGCCTTTGGATTTTAAAAATACTTTGAAACACATAGTATTTGTAATCTGCCAAACAGATTTCATTTGTTGAAAATCAGTAGTAATTTCTATGTAAGTAGTAGGATTAGTAAACTTTGTCTTGAGTGAATGTTAATAGTCAAAATTCAAAAATGAATTGTAAAAACATAAGGGTATTTAGAAAAATTATTGATAATCCTACCATCTAGATAGAACCAATTTTGATGCATTTTTCATATACATAAAATTATCCTACATGTGGGATAAGAAGTTACATAAGTCTTGTATCTTATTTTCCACTTAATTATGTCAAAAACATTTTTCTGTGTCATTAAAATTCTTGTAAACAATTTTTATGGCTACATAATAATTCATCATATAGATATACTATAATTGATGTAATAATTTTATTGTCAGATATTTAAGCCATGTCCTTTTTAATGCTGTTATCATAAATAATACTACCTGAATGTTCTATTATTTCTGGATAAATCCCACATGGTAATGCTAAATAAAGGATATGATTGCATTTAAAGTAAAGAAAAAATATTATCATTTTGCCTTCCAGAAAGATTGTACTAATTTATATTCCCACTAGTAGAGTTTACCTGTTTTGCTGCACTGGTGCTGGCTATGAATATTATTTGACCATAAATTTGCTAAGTTGATAGTTTTATTAGACTATATTTTTAATGAATTTTGAGCCACAATCATCAAAAAGAAAAAGATTTTTAAAAATCAATACCAGTATAGAACAATGTAAAAATTCCAAGAATGCTCAGTGTATGAAAGTTTATTTCATATAAGATCAAAATGCAAATACTGTGTCTTTCTGGGAAAAGCTCAGGATGCCATCTAAAGTGTGAAACATCAGTTTACTAGGTAAAAAGTTAGAGCAGAAAAAAGATATTTGCTAGTGAAAATACAGATAAATTGCTACTGTGGTTTTATAAAGCCATGTTATAGATGAATGTGGCAGTTAGACTGCATGAGTTGTTTGTAATAACTGTACATAGAGATAGTACATAGTTACTAAAACCTCTCCCTTCTGAAGTTTTAATTTTAGTGTTTGTGTATATGAATTGGTATGTTTGCTTTTTGCAATCTTGCCTTGCCTGAGGTAAATGTGTGAGAGATCTGAAGAATTTGTTTTTCTTACAGTTCTGCTTTCTGTTGTAGCTGAGACCCTGTTTCTAAATCACATCATATTATAATAGTTCTACAAAGATTTGGATTGTTCTCCAGCCCTCTAATTTCCCCCTTTTAAATATCTACATAAAAGACACTGTTTTGCAAGGAAAAAAAAAAATCAAGAGATAGGTACTCACAATTTAAGGCAGCTCTAATAGAAAACATTCGGTTTTATCTTTGTCTTCTTAATATTTTCTTTATAAGATTTCCTAGTTCATATTTTTTCTTTATTTTTTATTTTTTCATGGAAAAGGAGATGGGAATTGTGGTTAAAACCAGTACTATTTAATGAGATGAACAAATTAGTAAGAAATGTGTTTTTAAATATTGGAGATTACATATCCATGAAAGGCAAATGTTCATTGATGAGGCTTTATAGGGTTCTAGCAACATGACTTCTAGGCCCCAGATTATGTGTTTCTCAGACAAAAACTGTCTCACACAACTTCGATATGGGTATCCATTACTACCCTCTTTCAAAGGATGTTCTCCACATCCCATAGCCTCAGGGGGGTGGAAGTCATGGCAGATCAAGTTCTTAAACCTATCCTGTCCATCTGAAGACGCTGTTTCTTGCTTGTATCCTTGCTCTTGTAGTAACACTAACCTGTGTAAGATTTATAGTTGCCCGAGGATACAATCCTTTCCTCTTTTTTTTTTTAAAACATATTTTATTGATTTTGTACAGAGAGGAAGGGAGAGAGGTAGTTAGAAACATCGAAACGTCATCTATTAGCTGCCTCTTGCACACCCCCTATTGGGGATATACCCGCAACCAAGGTACATGCCCTTGACCGGAATCGAACCCGGGACCTTTCAGTCCCCAAGCCGAAGCTGTATCCATTGAGCCAAACCGGTTTCGGCTCAATGCTTTCCTCTTAATCCAAGCTCCTACAATCCGCACCAAGAATGCCTTTTCCTCCCCACTTCGCTGGCAAACTTCCGCACCTGGCTCAGGCATGGCACCTCTTCCAGGAAGCTCTTACCCACACGCTTTCCGTCTGGATGTGGCCCTCCTTTGTGTTCCCATAGAACTACTCTCGAATGATGTTGATCTCTTTGTTAGACTCCCAACCTCATAAAGACGATCTCCTTTGTCTTTTTACTCTCACATAGTAGGTGCCCCTTAAAGCTTGGTGAGTAAATTGCCTACAGCTTCCTCCCGTAATGGAGGTGCGAGCCCAGCGATTTTGTTCCTGTTTCTTTCCTTCAGGAGCCCATTTATAGGATCAGCTTCTACCTCATCGCCCGGTGCCAGGCAGTGCTTCCAAAGCCATTCTCATGTTCCTCTTCCAAAATGAGCCCTTCTCTCCCCTACCTCCTCTCGTGTAGCTTGAGCACGGCTAAAGGAGGTCCCGCTCAGGGGAGCTGTCACAGACAGGACTCGGTCACAAACACGGAGCTGGGGAGGAGAGGGTCGGGCTGGGGCAAACGTGAGGCTTTGGTTGTAGATGTATCCCATGAATAACTCAAAGTGGCTGATGCAGCCCTTGAAACCCAAAATAAAGAAAGCAGTGGAGAGAACAGGGAGACGAAATCAAGAAGCTTGAAGGGGCAGGGCCAGCAGGAAAAATGGAAAGAGAGTAGAGAAAGTTTAGACGCCGGGAAGACGAGTTGCAGCCTCTCCCCAGTTCCGATTCCGCGCGGCGCGGGCGGGGAGCGGGGAGCGGGAGGCGGGGGGCGGGGGGCGGGAGGAGGGCCTTTTCGGGGTCCCTCTCGGGCTCCCGCCCGGGCTCCTGTGGTCCTCGCCCGCCAGGCAGCTTGCGCCGAGCGCTCACACCTGCGGAGCCGCTGCAGAGCACGCCCAAACTCTGGGAGGCTGGCAGCCCGACCCCACACCACCAGGGTCATTTCCTTTTTGCCTCCGGCTTAGGGGGGAGTCGCCTTCACTCCGAGGCCCCCGTCAACATTAAAAAAAAAGCAGGTTCTAGCCCTATTTCCTCGGTGCAGCCAGCTCAATAAATTGCCCTATTATCCCCGAGAGCTAGGGTAGCCGGTTCACTCGGCACTGAAACTGCACCGAAGGCCTAGAAACTGGGCGTACAGCCCGGGCAACTCCCCTCTCCGGGTCCCCTTCCGCGCCTCGCTCCCCGCTCCCACCACCACGCCCCGGCCGTTCTTTCCCCGCCCCCCGTGGAAGCCCGCGCTGCCCATTGGCCGCGTGCTCTGCCAATCCAAAAGACGTTGACGAATCCAGACCTGAGGGAAGGCAGAGATCTAGAAAAAGCGCGCTCACCTGGGGGCGCGAGGGGGCAGGGGCCAGGGGAGTGTGCGAGCCCAACGCCCCCCAGCTGCGCGGGCTGCGCGAGAGCCGCCGCGGACCCGGCCGCTGGGAGACGGGGGCGGGGCCTCATTTGCATAACGGCCGCCCCTCGGTGCCTCGCGCGGGCCGCGGCCCCGCCCCCCACTCCCTGGAAAGCTGTTGGGCCGCCGGCGGGTCACTCCGGCCGAGGCAAGCCCCGGCGGGCGGTCCTGGGCGCCGATTGGCTGCGGGCTTTCCCACAGGGCGGCAGGGCGGCGGCTATAAGAGCCGGGCGCCGAGCGGCGGGGAGCGGGAGGTGCTGCTGCTGCTCGGAGGGGCTGGTGTCAGGTGCCAGGCGACCGTTAGTGGACGCCGCCGGCGGGTTTTTCTTCTCTCCCCCGCGGTTCTCGCCTTCACGCCGCCCGCCTCTCTCTCTTTTCAGTCACGATGTCTGCCCGCGGCCCGGCCATCGGCATCGACCTGGGGACCACCTACTCGTGCGTGGGGGTCTTCCAGCACGGCAAGGTGGAGATCATCGCCAACGACCAGGGCAACCGCACCACGCCCAGCTACGTGGCCTTCACCGACACGGAGCGCCTCATCGGCGACGCGGCCAAGAACCAGGTGGCCATGAACCCCACCAACACCATCTTCGACGCCAAGCGGCTGATCGGGCGTAAGTTCGAGGACGCCACGGTGCAGTCGGACATGAAACACTGGCCGTTCCGGGTGGTGAGCGAGGGGGGCAAGCCCAAGGTGCAGGTGGAGTACAAGGGGGAGATGAAGACCTTCTTCCCGGAGGAGATCTCCTCCATGGTGCTGACCAAGATGAAGGAGATCGCCGAGGCGTACCTGGGCGGCAAGGTGCAGAGCGCCGTCATCACGGTGCCCGCCTACTTCAACGACTCGCAGCGCCAGGCCACCAAGGACGCGGGCACCATCACGGGCCTCAACGTGCTCCGCATCATCAACGAGCCCACGGCGGCCGCCATCGCCTACGGCCTGGACAAGAAGGGCTGCGCGGGCGGCGAGAAGAACGTGCTCATCTTCGACCTGGGCGGCGGCACCTTCGACGTGTCCATCCTGACCATCGAGGACGGCATCTTCGAGGTCAAGTCCACGGCCGGCGACACCCACCTGGGCGGCGAGGACTTTGACAACCGCATGGTGAGCCACCTGGCGGAGGAGTTCAAGCGCAAGCACAAGAAGGACATCGGGCCCAACAAGCGCGCCGTGCGGCGGCTGCGCACGGCCTGCGAGCGCGCCAAGCGCACCCTGAGCTCGTCCACGCAGGCCAGCATCGAGATCGACTCGCTCTACGAGGGCGTGGACTTCTACACGTCCATCACCCGCGCCCGCTTCGAGGAGCTCAACGCCGACCTCTTCCGCGGCACCCTGGAGCCGGTGGAGAAGGCGCTGCGCGACGCCAAGCTGGACAAGGGCCAGATCCAGGAGATCGTGCTGGTGGGCGGCTCCACGCGCATCCCCAAGATCCAGAAGCTGCTGCAGGATTTCTTCAACGGCAAGGAGCTGAACAAGAGCATCAACCCCGACGAGGCGGTGGCGTACGGGGCCGCGGTGCAGGCGGCCATCCTCATCGGGGACAAGTCGGAGAACGTGCAGGACCTGCTGCTGCTGGACGTGACCCCGCTGTCGCTGGGCATCGAGACGGCCGGCGGCGTCATGACCCCGCTCATCAAGCGCAACACCACCATCCCCACCAAGCAGACGCAGACCTTCACCACCTACTCGGACAACCAGAGCAGCGTGCTGGTGCAGGTGTACGAGGGCGAACGGGCCATGACCAAGGACAATAACCTGCTGGGCAAGTTCGACCTGACCGGGATCCCCCCGGCGCCCCGCGGGGTCCCCCAGATCGAGGTCACCTTCGACATCGACGCCAACGGCATCCTCAACGTCACCGCCGCCGACAAGAGCACGGGCAAAGAGAACAAAATCACCATCACCAACGACAAGGGCCGTCTGAGCAAGGACGACATTGACCGGATGGTGCAGGAGGCGGAGCGGTACAAATCGGAAGATGAAGCCAATCGCGACCGCGTCGCCGCCAAAAACGCCGTGGAGTCCTACGCCTACAACGTCAAGCAGACGGTGGAAGACGAGAAACTGAGGGGCAAGATCAGCGAGCAGGACAAAAACAAGATCCTCGACAAGTGTCAGGAGGTGATCAACTGGCTCGACCGAAACCAGATGGCAGAGAAAGATGAGTATGAACACAAGCAGAAAGAGCTGGAGAGAGTGTGCAACCCCATCATCAGCAAACTTTACCAAGGCGGCCCTGGCGGCGGGTCCGGAGCCTCCGGGGGACCCACCATCGAAGAAGTGGACTAAGCTTGCACTTCAAGTCAGCGTAAACCTCTTTTCCTTTCTCTAATTTTCCCCCCTTTTGTTTTTGTTTCTTCTAAATGTCCTGTGCCAAGTATGAGATCTATTTTTGAAAGCCTTTAGCCCAGTGTATGCATATGAAAGGAAAGGAGCAGCAACTTAGTTTAATTATAAAAAGTTAGTTCTGAAGTTTGATTATTTGAGATTTCTCTTTAATGCATTTTGCTGTTTGCTGACTTGAGCATTTTTGGTTAATTTAGTGTTTGAGATGGGAGACCTGAAGTTTGCACACATGTTCTGTGGAAGCTTGGTAACAATAAAATACATAAGAGCTTGAATTGTTTATTTTTATGTACTACAAGAGGAGAGTCAACATTGCAGTAAAGTCAAGAACAGTTATTATTTTTGCACACAATTGCATACCTACAAAGTAAAGCTGAAATTGATCTGAAAATTACTGTCTTGGAGTTTTCAATTTTCTCTTGGTACTGTTTTACTCATGTTTAAGATACTAATATGAGATGAAATATATCTAACTCAATCTTGTCTAATTCTCAAATTAGTTTCCTGCTTTAAATTACCAACAACTTAAGGGGAGAAGATCTGGGTCAACTCCCTCCCCCTCCCCTCTTTTAATACAAAAACCAAACTGGGGTCTTGCACTGTACCCAAACTCCTAAGGCATGGCTTAAGTGTTCATGTGAAAATCCACCTGAATATTCCATTAAAATACAAGCTATATTCTGGGGTTAAGTGTAAAATGATTCTTTAAACTAAAAAAAGCTGGGGGGCAGGAGTTATCTTCTGATAATAGTATGAAACAACTTGCTTTTCTGTGTTTTAATTTAGTAACTAGACTCAGCTTAAAGCAAATTCCATAAGGATTTGTTTTCTGAGCAGGTATAATTTATAGGGGGATAAGAGAGATATGTATTTTTTCCTGATTTAGGAATCATAATGCTTTCTCAATATCTGCCATAAATCACTAGATTTCTTTAAAGGCAAACTGCAAGATAGTTCTGTATTTTGTTAATATACAACTTGTCCATTTTCCTATATATCTGATTTGAGGTTGTTACAAATAGGAAAATTTGGGGTATATATCCTAGGCCTTAAAATTCACATGCTTGGGAGAAGAGAGTTCATGTTTATTTTTCATTGAAATTACACTTCTGCTTTGTTCCCATTTATTCTCTTTAAGGGAAACTTAGGAGAAATTCTGTAAAGCTGATTGGAAAATGCATAATTAACTTACTGTTTTCACCACACACAGACATTTTGCTATCTCTTTCCAAGTGATGTAGATTTGCTTCATGTTGTTCATAAAAGTGAATTATAGAACTATATTTTTAATATAGTAGTGGACCCTTCTTTTTCATGCAGAGAGGTTAATTTTTGAATAATGAAATAAATTAGCCTAAAAACATTGGGCTTTGATAATGACCCTCACAGAAGAGCTGGCTCCTATGTACATGGCTTTTCCTTTCTCCCTCTTCTCCTCTTTCTCCTCCTCCAAGCAAGTCTCATTTGGGTGGGGGGAAGATAAAAAAGCAATTGTGAAATTGCTTCAAAATAAACTTTTAAAAATTACACTGAAAAGTTAAAGATAATTTGGGGTTTTTCAATGCTGGAGTCAAGATGGTGGAAAGTTTTTAGCAAGGAGGCAGTAGGGTATTTCATTGACTAGAGATAATATCACATAAATATTTGACAAACTATCTTGTTACTAAGAGAACAGGTCATTAATAGCCTTAGACTTTTAGCATTAATTTTTTACCAAGGTAATACACATGCTATTAAACTTCCAGTAGTTCTTGATTTGTTGAAAGTGTTTATCCCTTGCTCTAACATCAAAATATAATGGAGTCTTCTGTGAATGCAATTTGATATTAGTATGACTCATTTTAGACCTTACTTTAGAAGACATTAGTTTCTAAAATATCAGAAAAACAACTAGTGGTAGTCTCTTTGATCCAGTGGCCTGACCTCTGGTAACTGCCTATAGCACTAATTTCAATCTATGTAGATACTTCATTTTTTATTATTTTGAAAAGAAATTTGTAAAGCTCCTAGCCTTCTTGAGTGTTTTTTTTTTTTAATTCTGTCTTCTCAAATGTATCTAGATCTCAATGTTATTAAGATAAAGCCACCAAAGCACCCATTTAGTGTTTCCAGGGGTCAGTTGAAACTAGTAACCCAGTAACTCCTGGGAACTTCTTTGCAAACGTTAGATCAGCCATAGTCAAGTGACAATGGAAAAAGCACTTGATCTTAGGATAAGGCTAAATTACAGTTTAAGAATTAATTAAACATTACTTAAACTTTAAAGTAGTGTGTTATGGTAGAGACTAGTGGTTATGACTAAAACAAATGCAATACATATAGAATACTAAGGGATAAAAAAATACATTTCTCAGCCCTAGCCAGTTTGGCTCAGTGGATAGAGTGATGGCCTGTGGACTGAAGGATCCCAGGTTCCACTTGGGTCAAGGGCACATGCCTGAGTTGCAGAATCATCCCTAGTGGGGGACATGCAGGAGGTAGAACATCATTGATGTTTCTACCTCTCTCTCCCTTCCCTTCCCCTCTGAAATCAATAAAAATATATTTAAAAAAACACATTTCTCAGAATAAGCACTTAAATTCTTATCAGAATGCCTAAATAACATATTTGTTCCTATTTTGAGGCAACAAAACTAGACACCTGTTAAGACCTTACAGGTTGTTTACAGTATTTGAGATGAAATTTCAAAACAAGCTCACTCTTAAATTTTTATAGTAGTATTAATTTGATATATATAATGGAAATTCATTAAAAATTGTACATTAAGAGATAGTAATATATATATTTAAACTTAGCATGTATAATAGGATATTTGATGAATCATCTAATCAAGGGAGACTTAATGAGAATTTCTTTATCCTATATATAATCTTAAATGAGAATACAACCTTGCTATCTAGATAAAATAAAAATATTTCTTTTTATGAAGCTTAAATACTAGGCCCACGATAAGGCCTTTACCTATTTTAAATTGAATGCAGTTTTTAAAAATTGTGTGGTGAGGCATTTTCTTCTAGCTTGAACACTGCAATTGAAGTTTTAAAGAATCTCAAATCCACACATTAGACAATTGCTAAAGGAATATGTAGATAGGTGAAGGAACAACATGAATATTCACTTGCTTCTGTAAATTTATAAATAGGTATGTGAAAACTGTTTTTGAAAGGCTATCCTTAAGCATTAAAATTAGATACAGAATTTCATTCCTTGAAGAAAAAGTCTGAAAAAAGAGCCAAGTGTATATTTTGACATAGCTCTTGGAATGGGTATATGCATTTCTGAAACTTAATAGGGTGATATTTAATGTAGAAATGTCTTTTAGAACAAATCAAGAAGCCATAGGCTCTTTCCTCCACCACTTTCAAAGTAATTAGGTTGTTTGTGAATTCAAGGTTGGGGAAATAAGCATCAACAATGGAGTGGTTAATTAAAATACTGTCATTGTCATGTCCTTATATTTTCATTTTTAAAGGTAGATTTATAACACTATAAATCTTTCCATTATTACTTTTTTCATAGTATAAACATGCATTTAATTAATGTCTTGCACCTAAAATCTGAGACCAACAACTTAGTTCTGTTATATTCTCTTAGTTATATAACCATGAGAAGTTCTTTTAATTAGGGAAAAATCCACACATACACACAAAGCAAAACCTTTCCCTCACAAGACACTTGGAATTATTAGTATTTAAATAGTACCTTTATCCCTACTTTAAAATATGGATTTTTTTTTCCTAAAGAGAAAATTATATTTCCATTTTAGGTTGTGAGTTTCTAATGGCATTAAAAAAAAACAAAACCTATTTGGTGAAAAACCTAACCTACGAAATGAGTGGAACACTTTTTAAATAATGATTTAGCAATAAAAATATTTTCTTCCCTCTTTTGTTGAGGGGTTGGTAATGCAGAAGTATAAGGTGGTCCTTCAGAGTAATAGAAAGTTTCCTTTAACTCTATGTCCCTCTAGCACATGTGAAATGACTTGTAACTTTCACATAGGTCATTGTTTTGGGTTCTCCACTCCTATTTTTACCTTAGTTTTCTATTTTAGACAGCATGAAGTTAAACTATGGTGAAGTATCAAATATCTTTGTTTTTCTTCCCTTATTGGGATAAACTGGAGGTTGACTCAAGTGTGGTCTGTCTGTCTTCCGGATAATGGTTGTGAGGTGAATAGATTCCAGGTTTTTCTCCCGGTCTCCTCCTCCCCTCCCCCCAAGTTGTATGGCAGCTCGGTGAGAAACTCTTGGTCACTGGGATAGTCTTACTCCTTTTCAGATGAGTCATCTTGCAGTAAGCCAGCCTTGAGGCCACAGCCTCAAAGCAGCCCTGCCAGCGTCTAGGTAGGTGGGTTTTTGTATATCTTGAGCAAATCAGAACAGCTAACAACAATGGACTCAAGTGAAGGGAACATAAATCTAAGTGACTACGATTTTATATCACTTGGTTATCTTACCAAGTAGTGAGAAGTGAAAGTAGTGGGAAAGCCTATTGCCGTATTTTAAAAATTTATGGAGCATACAGTCACCGACTATTTACTGAGCATCCCATCCAAGCAAGGGGTGGGGATAAGGCAAGAGACTACCGAGGCATTCCCAGTCACTGCGTGCCATTCAGCATCGCTTCCATCATGGTTGGGGGGAGAGAACTACAGTCTGCCTATCAACTCAATTGCAAGATGAAATGAAAAACATGACCTTTGAAAATGCAAAGTGTAGACGTAAACATATCAACTGAATACCCATTGACGCAAATCAAGTTGCTTGGAGCAGCACTGATTTGAGTCCTTATTAACGGCGGTGCTTTTGCACTCACTGCTCCTTAGAATCCCTCCCAAACCCTCATTTGCGTGTCTTCAGACGTGTCATCAGTCGTCCCACCCTAGCTTTCACATCTAGTGATGCAGCAGGACCAAGTTTTGAAAACTTTAATTCCAAGCGTTCTCCCCTCATCTCTCCTCCCCCCCCCCCCCGCACCTTCTCTCCCCGCCGCCCCCAACCCGCCTAGCCCCCTGGGCTTGAACTTGGAAGTTTGGAACAAAGCGAAGTGGAAGTGAGTCCAGTTATTCTGATTACACACAATCCAGTGAAGGAGTCAGTTCCTCACGGAATACAACTCCCCCCACAGCCCATCCCTAACCTCCGCCCCGCCCGGCACCGGGTCTGTCACAGGAGGGGCTGACGTTAGGGCCCAGGCCGCCCCCGCCCGCCCGCCCCGCGCGGCAGCACCGCCCGCCCCGCGCCCGCCCGCCCGCCTTCCGGCCGGTTGCCCGGCGACGCCTGAGGCGGACAGAATGAGGCCATGGCTCAGGTGCGGGAGGAGCTGCCGAAGAAGAAGCGTCTGGACACGCAGGGAGTTCTGCGGCACGAAGTGAGTGCGCCCGCCGGGCCGCCAGTCCCGGCCGGCGGCGTGGAGGCCGCCCCGGCCCTGCCCCCGCCCGCCCCGCCCGCCCCGCCGCCCCCCAGCGGCCGCCCCGGCCAGGCCCGGCGGGCGGACTCCGGGAGGCAGGCGCGGCGGCTGCGGGGACAAACCCAGTGAGTGCGGCCCGGCCCCGTGCAGGCTGGGGTGTTGGTGCAGGTTCCACCTCTCCCCTCCGCACTCAGCCTGCTGGGCCCGGGCGGCCCGGGGCGGCCGCTCCGGGGCTGCGGGCCCCTGGCCCTCTGCCGGCTCCTCCGGGGAGTGTCCAGCTCCGCACCCGCTCGAGGCCGCCCCGGGCCTCCGTGCGCCGTGGTCCGAGTCCCAGTTAATCGGTTGGTTGCTGGAGACCGCGCAGACCAAGTTCTGTAACTCCCCCTGCTTCCCATGGAAACCACATTGAAACAAGCAGGGAGGAGGAAACCCGGACTTCATGTAAAACACACACACACACACCACTTTAAGGTTCTACATAGAGCAACTCATGAAATTACTGTTAAAAATGTTATTGTGAGACGTGGATTGTAAATTGAACTTTTCATTGTTTTTTGCTGCAATCATTTTATTTTACAACAGATGGGATTGCGATTAGGCATGTGGTACTGGAGAGATGAAAGCAAAACTCTTGAATTCAGAAGGTAAATTTTAATAAAATTTTATTATCGCTTTTTATAAAAAATTACATGTGCTTGGAGTAAAAATAAAAAATTCAAACAATACAGAAGGGTATAGAGAATAAAATAAATATATGCTGTAAATCCCGTTCAATGATAGGCACTATCTTACTCATCTTCCTGACTCTCTAGAGCCATTTATAGAATTTCTCAAAATAGACATTCACCAAATATTTGCTTTTCAATAAACCAATTAGATTCAAGCATAGGAAGACTAGAAGCAGGGGATCAATTAGAAGGCTAGTTGTAGGAGAATTACAAATAGTTACACAAGTAGAAACAGTCAGTCAGGACTAAGTCCATGTTGGTAGCAATAGAGAGATGGGCATAGGACTAAGAAATATTTTAAAGATATTTAAAGATATTTGCGTAGAATTGATAGAATGTGGTACCTGTGTGTGAAGGGAGAGGGAGAATTAGGTGTTTAGATTGACCCCCAGATATCTGGTTTGAGTAATTGGGTGGCTGGGATTGCCCATTACCCGTATGCAGACTGAAAGAGGTAAAATTGTGATGTGTTTGACATGTTCACATGGATACGTGTTTTAGACTGTTGGACAAATGAGGCGGGAGGCCAGGAAAGGAGGTGGCTAAGCAGATGTAACTTATAGTTACATTATATTTAATGCTAATTAAACAAACAATTTAAAGGCTAAGCTGTACATTAGAATCATAATCAAACTTTTATATTTCCATGAGTATCTATTTCAGGATTTGAGTAATTAGTCATTTCCAAAGCAGTGATTTCAGTTTGTCCTCAGATATCTCAGAAAATTTTTGTTGGACAATACTTTTTACTTACTGACCTTCTTTATAAATTAAATAAAATTGTAGTATTTTTAAACTAATTCTCATATAAGCATTACTTAAAAAAATTTTTTTTTATTAGTTCTCATCTGAGGATATTTTTCCATTGAATTTTTGAGAGACTGGTAGGGAGGGAGGGAGACACACACAGAGAGAGAAACATTGATGTGTTGTCTCCCAGATGTACCTCGAGCAGCACCAGAGATGGAGCATCCTTCATTCCACAGGCTGACACTCTATCCACTGAGCCAAACTGGCTAGGGCAGAATTAGTATTATTTTAAAAAACTAATTACGTATCTTTATTTTCCATTCAAGCCTACTAATAAATTACAGATAGCAGTTCTACACTGACTTTCTTATTCATAAAATATTCATATTCATAAATGAAAGTTTCTTTTCATTTATTACCAAATTATTATTTGAAAATAGCTTGATTGATTTCCACTAATTTTGGAGAATATACATGGGGTGGTTGCTTTGAAAGGGAGGTTACATGCACAATGTTGAACAAAAAAGGCTAGACACAAAAATGTAAATATGCTTGTACTTACATATGAGTTTCAAATAGACCGAAAGAAAACTTATAATGGCCCAGCTGGCATGGCTCAGTGGTTGAGCTTTGCTCTATGACCCAGGATTCATGGTTTGATGCCCAGTCAGGGCACATGCCATGGTTGTGGGCTGGATCCCCAGTTGGGAGTGTGCAGAAGACAGTCAAACAATGATTCTCTCTCATCATTGATGTTTCTATCACGCTCTCCCTTTCCTTTCCTCTTTGAAGTTAATAAAAAAATAAAATAACTGTAATGATAGATGTCAGAATAATCGTCAGCTTTGGGGAGTTATCAACTAGCAAGGGCTGGAGAGAAGGCACAAGAGAATCTTCTGAGGTGCTGGAAATGGACTGTACAGTGATCTGGGTCATGGTTACATGGATATATATACATAGTAAAAAACTCATATATCTGTCCACTTCAGAGTTATATACTTTACTACCTGTAAGTTATACCTCAATTTAAAAAGTTAAACAAACAAACCCCAAACTATGGACTCTGTGGAATCTACAAATTGGGGCCAATTAGGAGAGATGGGGAAAGGAACACCATGAGGAATAGATGGGAGGGCAGCTCTTTTGTCATGGGGCTACTTTGTGGTAAAGCAACTCTGTATGGCAGACCTCAGTGTCAGGGTCACCTTGGGAGTCCAGCTGCTAGGACAGTATAGGGGAAGAGGAAAGAGAACATTGTGTTTAGGTCAGAGTTAGTGCTTGGATTTGATGGTAATATAGGTCCTGATTCTCTGTTAAAGTCTACGTATGCATATCCCATCACAAGTTAGAATGTAGGTTTGAAGTCAGAGAGGACTCGAGAGAGGGCCTTTTTTTTCCAGAGACAGTGCTGCAGAGACAGGCCACCCCAGGGCATGGTGATGAGACAGGGCAGAGGCAGAGGAGGTTGAGAGTGGCAGTGGTAAGGGCAGGTGCTGCAAAGGCAGAAGGTCACTGCTCTCAGACTTAGTTCTGTTGGATATTGCTCCACGGGTCTCTGCTGAACGTACAGGACTGCACTGCATCTATGCTCTGGCCCTCTCCCACGGTAGCATGGAGGGGTGAGATTAGAACTAGGGAGACAAGACAGTGATGCAGCAAACCAAGGAGGGAGGGGGGATGACCTGCAGGAGAAAGGACAGTCAGACTCCCTCTAGAGCTGGCCAAAGAGGAAGAATGATTAGACAAGTCAAAGGAAGACTTTCTGGAGGAGGGGCTAGCCAAGCCAAGATCTGAGAAGGGGCAGGAGTTGACAAGGCAAAGGGAGGTTGGGTTGGGGAGGAGGAGAGTGCATTCTAGGCAGAAGGAACCGCACAAAAGCCCATTCTTGAGAGGGCGTGGGACATGTCTGGGACTGCAGGTAGTTCAGCAGGCTGGGTATAGAGTTCCAAGTGTTAAGAGGTAGAGGAGACCAAGGCAAGATCAGGAAAGGTCTTGCATACCATGCTGAGGAAGTTGAAATTTATTCAGAGGATTCGGGGGAGCCATCAAAGAGTTTTAAGCAGGGTAGTAGCCTGTGATTAGAACCACATCTTAGGAAAATGACTCAGCCTGCAGCATGGAAAATAGCTTGGAGGGAGGCAAGACTGGAGGCAGGGAGATCAACTAAGAAGGAATTGCAGCCCAGCCAGCATGGCTCAGTTGGTTGAAATCATCACATACACCGAAAGGTTGTTAGTTCCATTTCTGGTCAGGGCACATGTCCAGGTTTCAGGTCCCATCTCCGTACAGGAGGCAACCAATTAATGTTTCACATCTATGTTTTTTCCTCCCTCTTCCTTCCTCAATAAAATCAGTTTAAAAAAATTAAATGTTTTTAAAAAATCAGAAAAAGAAGCAATTGCTCTGACTGGCGTGCTAAGTGGTTAGAGGATCGGTTTGAACACCAAAGGATCTCGGGTTCCATTCCTGGTCAAGGGCATGTACCTGGGTTTCAGGATCCTAAGCTCAACAGTTAGGGCTCATGAGGGAGGCAACCAATCGATATCTCTCTCTCATATATATGTCTCCCTCCCTCCCTTCCATCCTCTCTAAAAGTCAATTTAAAAAAATCCTCAGCTGAGGATTAAAAAAACAACCACCAATTGCAGAAACTTAGTTAATAGATGATGCTAGCTAAAATTAAGATTGCAGCAGAGAGCTGAAACCGGTTTGGCTCAGTGGTAGAGCGTCGGCCTGCGGACTGAAGGGTCCCAGGTTCGATTCCGGTCAAGGGCATGTACATTGGCTGCGGGCACATCCCCGCTGCGGGATGTGCAGGAGGCGGCTGGTTGATGTTTCTCTCTCATCGACGTTTCTGGCTCTCTATCTCTCTCCCTTCCACTCTGTAAAAAAACAATAAAATATATTAAAAAAAAGATTGCAGCAGAGAGAAGAGAGGGAAGTAGAGAAATTGAAAAAATATCAAGGAATTGAATGGTTAGTGGACTGTGAGGGCTTAAGAATGGTAGAGGAATTAAGGATGACACATTTTCTGCCTTGGACACCTGGGCAGGTGGTGGCACCTCTTTGCTGAGATGGGGGAGATAGCAATAGTGAATACAAGTTAAAGGGAATGAGTTCAGTTTGGACATACTGAGTCTGAGGTGTCTGTAGGACGCCCAAGCAAAGGTGTCCAATAGGCAAGTGTGTCAGTTTATATGTCTGCAGAAAGATCTGAACCATAAATATAAATTTGTGAGTTATTGGTATTGAGTAGATGAAATGACTCAGAGGAATTGAAGAGAGTAACCAAATGGAACCCTAAGATAGGCCCTCAGTTTAGGGGACATAATTGGGAAAGGGGGCTTTCGGAGACTTAAAAAAGAGCAGCCAGAAGCGAGGAGGAAAATCTGGAGTTTCATGAACCCAGATAATTTGCTTTGCAAAGTAACAGCTCATAAGTCTCCTTCCACATGGGGCAGGCCACCTTTTACACCTGCTAGCCAACAAGAGTTTGCAGACTTCTAGGTATTCTCAAGTTCAAATTAGGAGAAGAAGTTCCCCAACCTCTTCCCCACCATGCATTTCCTGGCCTCTTTCCTGGATGAGTGACACTGGAAGTCTTACCCTTCAGAGAAGACCTAGCACCCTCTTCACCGGCAGAGCTTGCCTTACCTTTTCAGATTATATCCCGAGGGAGATACCTATCCGACAGAATACAACAGGATACCTATAACCTCCATGCAAGAAATGGATTCACAGTAACAGACAGGGAAAGAGGGGTCTTTGTTTCTTAACAGGCAGTCAAGGAAGAGACAGTAAAGAGTGGTTTGCAGGGAGACCTGGGTTCATTTCCTAGCTCTCCTGCTTACTAGGTATCAGTCAAGTTGTCAAATTACTTAGTTCTGCTAATATCAGTCTCTCACCTATAAGATGAAATAATAATGCCTTGTGAGGAATACATGTGAGTGGCCAGATTATTATGATCTCTGAACATATAATAATCTGGCCACACTGTGTGTGTGTGTTTGTGTGTGTATGTGTGTGAGAGAGAAGAGAGAGAGAGAGAGAGAGAGAGAGAGAGAGAGAGAGAGAGAGAGAGAAGCCCAGTGCATGAATGAGAGAGAGAGAGAGAGAGAGAGAGAGAGAGAGAGAGAGAGAGAAGCCCAGTGCATGAATGAGAGAGAGAGAGAGAGAGAGAGAGAGAGAGAGAGAGAGAGAGAGAGAGAAGCCCAGTGCATGAATTCGTGCATGGTCCGGCCAGCTTGACCAGGGGGAGGTGAGAAGGATGATTGGCCGGCCTGCCTGCTGGTCGAACTCCTGCTCAAGGGGACAATTTATATATTAGCCTTTTATTATATAGGATATACACTGAGTGCTAGATTATTATGCATTCAGAGATCATAATAATCTGGCCAATCAGTCTAGATGGTGTTGCATAATTCATCAGTATGCATGCCCATTTCTTATTTGTTAAAGAGGGAATACCTTTATTTACAGGCCACATCTAGGTTGGCCCGTGAGGCATGCTTCTCTCTGACACAGTGTCAGCACGCCTATCCCTCTTGTCTCAAGTGCCCCTCCTCCCACCTGGGAAAGAACCAGCAGCTTGTATGAGCCTATGCCAAAGTCATTGACTCCTCTGAGGACACACAGCAGGGGAAACTATGCCTCCAGAAGCCTTGGACTGCTCTTGTTTGTCATTCTGGCCTAAGAGAAGACTACTAACTCATCACTGACAAGCTCCAACTTGAATGGAAGCCAAGAGTGGGCCAGCCCTCTGCATTTTAGTGATGGATTCTACAGGGAAAATATGATTTTTCCCCCCTCTCATTTATTTCAGGGCAAAGGGAACCAACATGATTATTGTGTAATATTAGGAAAACACATTAACAAAATGCAGTTATGAAAGGGCCAGATTCTAAATGGGTTGTCAGGTTGAGGGGGAGGCTGCGGAGGCCATAGGAGGGTACAGAACTACCTCAGACTGAGGGTTAGGAGTCAATCAGGTACAGTTCAAAGGACGAAAACAAATGATTACTAGTGATGGTTTTCAGTGATTCCAACTGCACAGAGAGCATAGGCTGCCTTCAGAGCTGGGAGGGCACTCACCAAGAAATCTGTTTCATCAGGGAGCTAGAGAAAGACTTCCATCAGGGGAAAAGCCACCAGGGGCAAGTGTGAAGGGGGGAAGGCATGGCCAGAGGCCGGAGCATAAGGACTTAGCAGTAAATGCCAGCTATTGGCTAAGGGCGGGCACTGCCTGCCACACATTTCAAACCATGAGACCTGGGTCAGCTTCTCTGCACCTTGGTCCTCTCCATCAATGCCAGCCATGTACCAAATGACCTTGAGGATGTCCTCTAACTCCAAAGTTTTTATTTTATAATTCTAAGTTTGTTTGACTTAGTTCATAGGCTTGATCTACAATGATAGTCGCAAATGTATTCTTTCAAAAATTTTTATTTTAGGGCTCTCTAGCCTCAAATTATCTCAAGCAAACTAAGAAGGCAAGAAACTTTGAATTGTAGGGATGAAACTGAGAAAAGGGTACTCAATACATTAAAAACTTCCTCCAAACTTATCATGAGCTTTGTTTCATGTGAAGTTGCTACATTTTCATATGCAAATGTTTTATGTATTACAGTATTTTGAAGGTGCTGATATGTAGAGGCTGAAAATAAAGATTGAAATTTTAATCTTTTTCTAGATGGTTGTTCCATATGTAAATGCATAAGTTGAGTACTGCTGTGCCTCAAATTCCCTTTAGGCCCACTCACAACATATCCTAGTCCTAAGGTCATGATATGATTAGTTTTCCCCTGGGTAAAGGTTAAGTTGTTGCTAATTTTCTCATTTCTATCACAGTTTTACACCTGCAATAGAACCCAAGGAAAAAGGAAGGAGAGGCAAAGCTGTTCACTTTGCTGAAATTGATGCTTCAGAGAGGTATCTTAATTTCCCAGCCATTATAGCACCTCTCAGCAGAATGGGTTAAGTAAGCCTTTACAAACCTGAATGTCACTCCCCTTCTCCTACACTGAAATGCAAATACCCATCAAGTAAAGAGAATGCACTATTTCATAATTATGGTGGTAGTTACAATAGTCCCTATAAATGTATCCCTGTAATAATTTGCCTAGCTTTTTATTTTATTTTATTATTACTTTAAAATATATATTTTATTGATTTTTTTACAGAGAAAAAGGGAGAAGGATAGAGAGTTAAAAACATCAATGAGAGAGAAACATCAATCAGCTGCCTCCTGCACATTCCCTACTGGATAAGTGCCCACAAGCAAGGTAGTACATGGCCTTGACCAGAATCGAACCCTGGGACCCTTGAGTCCTCAGGCCGACACTCTATGTATTGAACCAAACCAGTTAGGGCACTTTTTATTTTATTTTTAAAAATACATTTTTATTGATTTCAGAGAGAGGAAGTGACAGAGATAGAAACATCAATAATGAGAGAGAATTATTGATTGGTTGCTTCCTACATGCCCTCTACTGGGGATGGAGCCGGCAACCTGATATGTGCCTGACTGGGAATCGAACCATGACCTCCTGGTTCTTGGGTTGACATTCAGCCACTGAGCCACATTGGCTGGGCAACTTTTAGCTTTTTTAAAAATCTGAAAATAATCTTCCCTTAAACAAAACCAAGCTTGAGAACTAGGCTCTTGATACTCAATAGTAAAAGCCTCATGTACCTCAGGATAGATTAAAATCAACCAAAACCTTTCAAAGCACTACTGCAGACTGTTATATTCTAAACAGGTTGACAGATAAAAGACTTGCTTCCAGAGAGGCTAAGTCACTTCAAGCCTTAGAGAAACGAGGTCTGCAGGGCAACGTTACACTGAATGATGTCAAATGTGAGTAACTGCTTCCTCATCCTTATGTCTTACCTGGTGTGACCCTGTAAGGCAGCTCTTTGTTGTTCTTTCAATTGTCCCTCTTCTTTTTTGTAGTTGTTGCTTTGCTTTTGCTACAAGAGAGTGAGATGCAGCGGGTCTGTTCTTTTTCATCTTTTATGAGGTATGTAATGCTTGTGAGACATTTTAGATCTTTTATCCTTTATTATAAAGTAACTAGAGGCCTGATGCACGAAATTCATGCAAGAGTAAGCCTTCCTTCCCCCAGCTGCTGATACCAGCTTCCCTCTGGCTGCTGGCAAGGACGTGGGTCCTGGGCTTCCCTCACAGCCTTGGCTTCGTCCGGAAGGTCATTCGACGGTCTGGTCTAATTAGCATATTATGCTTTTATTATATAGGATTATATTTGATAAATGATGACAAATCTGATTTTTGGAGAAAGGCCATGGGGCTGTCTCTATGCATGCCATCCTCTCAGGAACCAGGCCAAAGAGAGGATTCCAGAAGGCACAGGAGCCCACAATAAAATCTCCAGGCAAGGGAGGTGGAGAGCATGTTGGGAGATGAATATGCTGATGTTTCCTGAGTTGCTCTTCCCAAGTAAACTGCTTACTCTCAAATCTTTCTGCCTTCGAGTTGGTTTCTGGGAGGACCCAATCCAAGTCAGGTAGTTATTAATATCCTGGGGAAAGCCTGCAATGCTTACCTTCATCCAGCTCTCAAGATATAGTTAAAGAAAACATGCCCTTTTGGGGTTGGAAAGGAGGCAGTAAAAGTCTTGTAAGAATATTTAGAGAGAAAACAGTGACTTCTAGTATAAAAACAAATTAGAAAGGATTGTAAACCAGTGCAATCTTTTTGGAGAGCAAGACTTATGAAACTTTACTATGCATATATAGTGTGCCTTAGCAATTTCACCTAGCAAGTTACCCAGAGCTATGGTCACTTGCAAAATCACTGCAGTAATATCTACAATAATATATATATATATATATATATATATATATATATATATATTTATTTTATTGATTTTTTACAGAGAAGAAGGGAGAGAGATAGAGAGCTAGAAACGTCGATGAGAGAGAAACATCGACCAGCTGCCTCTTGAACACCCCCTACCAGGGATGTGCCCGCAACCAACGTACATGCCCCTGACCAGAATTGAACCTGGGATCTTTCAGTCTGTAGACTGACGCTCTACCACTGAGCCAAACCTGTTTCGGCAATAATATATATATATTTTTGATCCTCACCCAAGGATATGCTTTCTCATTGATTCTAGAGAGAAAGGAAGAGAGAGAGAGAAAGAGAGACATTAATGTGAGAGAAAAACATTGATTGGTTGACTCTCATACACGCCTTGACCCACAACCTAGCTATGTGCCCTGTCTGGGAATGGAACCCACAACCCTTTTGGTGTATGGGATAACACTCCAGCTAACTGAGCCACCCACCCAGGGCATATTTATAATAATTTCTAAAGACCTAAATATCCATCAATAGAGAGCTAATTACATAAATTTTGAGACATAGAATACCTTATCCAGCTGTTTAAAAGAGTGAGGAGTGAGGATGAGGTGGGCTAGAAGGGGTTAATGGGGGAAGTGGGAACATAATGTAATACTTTCAACAATAAAAATAAGAAAAAAAGAGTGAGGAAAATCTATAGTATTGTGGAAAGAGGTCCTTGCTACACAGATGCAAGTGACAAAAACAAGTTGTAAAAATTTGTGTGTATAGCTTTATCCTGTTTGTTACAAAAATATTAAGGAATATGCATATGTATTTGTATTGGTATAGATTTGATTGTTTATGCTTTAGAACAAGCATGTCCAACTTGTGACCCACAGGCCACACAATAAATATTTTTTGCAGTCCAGCCAATATAACGGTATGTAAGAAATATTTTAATAAAAATTTTGTAACCTAATTTTTACATTGTCCTGTTATACATATATATCAATTACGAACTTCAATGTTTACTAATGACTGATTACTAAATCGTGTTGCATTCATTTCTCTTAGTCGCCTTATGCGCAGGCACACCATTTCTCTCCACTAATACCAGCAGCTAATATTTTAGCAGCTGATTACCACATCATTAGTCTTTTTTTTATTATTATTATTAATATATTTTATTGAATTTTTGCAGAGAGGAAGGGAGACAGATAGTTAGAAACATCAATGAGAGAGAGTCATTGATCAGCTGCCTCTTGCACACCCCCTACTGGGGATGTGCCCGCAACCAAGGTACATGCCCCTGACCGGAATCGAACCTAGGACCTTTCAGTCCACAGGCCAATGCTCTATCCACTGAGCCAAACCGGTTTCGGCAACCATGTCATTAGTCTTGTACTGACTTGTTTGGTGTGGGCAACAGGAAATATTTTGCTTTAGGAGAAGAAGAAAAATAGGTTCATTTGCATTACGCTTATTAAATTGTGCAGTTATTAAAGAGTCTGGTAAGTTAATGTTCAAGAAAACATATTAATTTTTATTAAATGTATTATTTTAATGATTATTCATTTATTTCAGCCCTTTGTATTGAGCATGTCTCTATAAAAATAAACTAATGTTTCTATGAAGCTTTTTAAAAAAAATATATTTCATTGATATTTTACAGAGAGGAAGAGAGAGGAATAGAGAGTTAGAAACATGGATCAGCTGCCTCCCTGCACACCCCCCACTGGGGATGTGCCTACAACCAAGGTACATGTCCTTGACCAGAATCAAGCCTGGGACCTTTCAGTCTGCAGGCCAATGCTCTATCCACTGAGCCAAAAACGTTTTGGCGAAGCTTTTGTTTTTTTAACACTCACATAAACTTAAACCTTGTTTATTTGGCCCGATTTGCCATTGAGTTTGACATGCTTGCTTTAAGAAGTTAGGGAAGGGTAAATACTTCTTTTCCGCGTCCAGCTCTGCTAGAGAGCGGTTCAGTTCCTGAGTGGGGCAGCTGGAGATTGAGAAAATGAAAGAAAGAGATAGACACAGAGATAGAAGAAAAAAGCTGGGACTGGGGGGGACCGCTGCCCTCTTCTGATGGAGAGACAGGGACCCAGAACCCATACCTTGTGTTTATTTTATTCCCCAAAATACCAGGAAGTTTTATTAAAAGTCAAGACAAATGAGATTATTTACATTCTTGGGTGGGCTTGAGTCATATTCATTACTAGTGCTTGGCTGGATTTAAATAGTAAAACCCACTCCCTGGCACCTGGGCAGAAGTGAAGATCAAGCTGATAACACTTCTGCCTTTTGGCAGAACATATTTCCAGGGCGTGGCTTTGCCTACCGCCCTGGATTCAGCTACAATTTAAAGAAATGCCCATGTGCCTTCCCGGACTCTCTCTACAGGTAAGGATTCATAACCAACTTGAATAGGATGGTGACAGAGGGGTAAGAGAAGAGAACTTTTTACTTGCTACATTGGTGTATCTTTTTTTAAAACAATAGGGAAATATTACTTGTGTAATAAAAACTTTTTAAAATTTAAAAATAATTGATAAGCAAAGCATCAATTTAAGTTATCAATTAGCAGAATTATAATTTCATGTCTGACCTTCCAAAAAGCCTTATTGAAAAATCAGATTTCTTACATCTTTAATAGATTTCTTACATTTAATAGAATTTTAAATGGGGAAGTAATTATATGGTAGATATGATAACATGTATTTCTACTTATTATGCTGCCTTCATATATGTTTTTGAGAAACCTATGTTTGAAATATGTTAGTGTTAATACCTTTTATTTTCATCTCCCATAGGAATAAGAATCTTGATAATTTCCTCATGGCATTATTGTACTATTTATCTCATTTCTTGGAAAAAAACTCACTGGAAAAGAAGCCCAAAAGCTATATGGTGTAAGCAGTATTTTGTGATGTGCTTTAGAGTTTTACCAGTATTAAAATGAACTTTTGTTTGTGGTGAAGAGGTGATGGAAAATTTTAAATCTTTGTGGCAAACTAAAACATTTTACATGAGAGGAGCTCACTAGTTTTTAAAGTTCACTGGATAACTCACCCAATGGATATTCTGGTGGGAAAAAAAATTCCAGCCCTAACCGGTTTGGGTCAGTGGATAGAGCATCAGCCTGCAGACTCAAGGGTCCCAGGTTCAATTCTGGTCAAGAGCATTTACCTTGGTTGCAGGCATATACCCAGTAGGGAGTGTGTCCAAGGCAGCTGATCTATGTTTCGCTCTCATTGATGTTTCTAGCTCTCTATCTCTCTCCCTTCCTCTCTGTAAAGAATCAATAAAGTATATTTTAAAAATAAAAAATAAATTTAAAAAATTCCAAATTATATAGACTAGCACTGCCCAATAGGAATATAATTAGAGCCACATATGAAATTAAAAGTTTCTAGTAGCCATATTTTTATTTTTTATAAAATTTTTTTGATTTCAGAGAGGAAGAGAGAGAGATAGAAACTCAATGATGAGAGAGAATCATTGATCAGCTGCCTCCTGCATGCCCCCCGCTGGTGATCAAGTCTGCAATCCAGGAATGTGCTCTTGACTCCAATTGAACCCAGGATCCTTCAGTCTGCAGACTGACACATACAAGTGAAATTAATTTTAATATATTTTATTTAATTCAATGACCCCAAAATATTATTATAATATGTAATCAACATTAGGTAGTTATCAATGAAGTGATTTACTATTTTTTTAATAAGTCTTTGAAATTTGGTAGTATCTACTTTATATATAAAACATATCTCAATTTAGATTAACCACAGTAAGTTTTCTTTAGCCACATGTAAATTCGTGGATACCATATTGGACAGTATAAATATAAATATTATGTGTCTGCTTTTTTATGCTTACAAAGTTCTTGCTAAAAGGTTAGTAAGTGTCTAGTAAAAAACTAAGCATTAGCCAAAACCAGTTTGTGCGGGCACAACCCCAGTGTGGGTGTGTGTGTGTGTGTGTGTGTGTGTGTGTGTGTGCACGCAGAAGGCAGCTGATCAATGTTTCTCTCTCATCGATGTTTCTAAGCCTCTATCCCTCTCTATTCCTCTCTGTAAAAAATTAACAAAATATATGAAAAAACAAGAGAAAAAAACAAAAAACTTAGCATTAAAAAATTTAACAGATTTAACCCTAACTGGTTTGACTCAGTGGACAGAGCGTTGGCCTGTGGACTCAAGGGTCCCAGGTTTGATTCTGGTCAAGGGCATGTACCTTGGTTGCAGGCACATACTCAGTAGGGAGTGTGCAGGAGGCAGCTGATCTGTTTCTTTCTCATCGATGTTTCTAACTATCCTTCTCCCTTCGTCTCTGTAAAAAATCAATAAAATATATTTTTAAAATTTAACAGATTTAACAAAAATAGCATTTCATGTCACAGGGGGGAAAAAAACCCACAAAATTTCTTAGGCTGCATGTGAAGAATTTAACTGTGTTAGACAAACATGACTCAGAACAACACACACGGAAAGAATCTGGAACTCAGAATCCAGAGCAGAACAATGCCTCTCGGGCTTGGTGACCTTTCCAAAGCCATGGAACTTTCCAAGTGCACAGCCTGCCCTTTGCCAGTGCATGTGGAACTAACCCAGTGATTTAGCTGTTGGAAATGCTGGCAGAGTCAGTAACCTATTGCTGCAGAATATTTTCAAAATGCAAAATCCTTGTATACAACCAAGCAGTCTGATTTGATGGATAGATACATATATCTGAACAGCAGCTTTGTAAAGAACCAAATAAATAACTCACACACTACTGCTCCATTTAAGCCATCATAATATGCAACATCCATGTCATTTCAGATCTGCTTTCCAGAGCAGGGCATCCAGAGATCATAAAGTGCTTCTGTGGGAGCCAGCAAAGGGGCTCACGCAAACTGTGGGCTTAGAATGGTTGAGGCGTCTTACTATTCCCAAACAGAAACTCGCTGGACTTTGGTGGCATGTTAGCTTATATGGTGTAAGGTGTTTCCTCTCCTAATTCTGAGGAATGTTAATATGGCAGATATTTGTTTCATTTCTTAATTTATGGAAATAGGTAACAGAAGAAAGGTTTTTTAGTTATTTTAAGACTTATTCAAACACAGTGGTATAAGGTAGGCTTTCTTAGAAGAACTCAGTTGCAGAATGATAAAGAACAAGTGCGTTATCTTTTGAGCATGCCCGTGCCTTCTTCCAACCTTCTTTTCTCAGGTGTGTATTTTCCCTTTCTTTCTCCTAAACTTCAAGGGTTCTCAGGAGATTGCATGTAGGGGAGCAGCGAGCAGCAACAACTCACCTGGGCTAACTCCCTGAACCTGTCTCCAGGGGTCCTTCTTTTGCCTCTGTAACTTGTTTCCTGAGTCCATTCAGCCCAGCTGGCTCACTTTTTTCACCTCCGTGACTTTCCTTCCAAAAAGCCAAGGCAGCTTCACGGAGGCTCACCTTCCTCATGTTTCCAAACGGTCAGGGCAGCTCCGCCTAGGCTCCTCCTGTTGCTATGATTTTGCCTCTGATTGCTTAAGATCTTCCTCTGTTTTTCTGTCCCCAGCTTTACTAAACATATTCTCAAATAAATAAATAAGACTTCACATCATTGATTCTGTGGTGTGATCCTGAAAAAATTACGGTGACTTCCTTTTCAGGCTTACAGTGGTCTGTTGCTTTACTTATTATCATTGAAGCTAGAAGTCCAGTTCACGAAATTCGTGCACAGAGTGGGGGTGTCCCTCAGCCCAGCCTGAACCTTCTCCAATCTGGGACCCCTCGAGGGATGTCCCTCTTACAATCCAGGACTGCTGGCTCCCAACTGTTCACCTGCCTGCCTTCCTGATGTCCCCTAACCATTTTTGCCTGCCAGCCTGATCACCCCCTAATCACTTCCCTGCTAGCCTCTTTGCCCCCAACTTCTCTCCTTTTTGCAGGTCTGGTCACCCCTAACTGCCTTCCCCTGCAGGCCTGGGTCCTCCCCGCCCACCTGCTCTTCCTTGCAGTTCTGGGTCTCCCCCAACTGCTCTTCCCTGCAGGCCCTGTTGCCTCCAACTTTCCTCCTCTGCTGGCCTGGTCACCCCTAACTGCCTTCGCCTGCAGGCTTGAGTAATAATGCATATTATCTTAACCTAGTGCTTGGCACTTGGAAGAAAGGCCAAACTGTGAGAGAAGAGCAGAAAGGGAGGTGGAAGGATAGCAAAGATACCTTTGTTGGTTTTAGATTATCAAAACCCCTATTTCCAGAAGAAGAAGCCTTATTTGCATTTTATAGAAGAAGAAACTATGGCTCAGAAAGGTTAAATAGTGGGCATATCCTGAAATTGGTGGAGCTGAGATTAGAACCCAGGCCTGCCTAACTCCAAAGTCTGCTCAAACCAGTGTGCACAGTGCCCACCACCTGCTACCAACCAACTCTGCTGGCTTTTCCACAGTCCATCCACTTATAATTGGGAATTACAGTGGATAGATGTTGATGTGAATAAAACTGACTCCATCTCTGTATCCCAGCTTTTGTTTCTTTTCAAGTTTCCATGCTGAGAACTCTGACCTAATTATTTTCCACCAGCACTAAAGCCTCAGTTAATGATTAGCTGTGCCCTGTAAACTCACACAATGTAATTATAAAGTTTCTGTCAGTAAATGGCCAGAATGATATAGCAACTGAGATAAATATCAAACTCAATGCTGGCATCAATTCTAAGCAAGTATCCACCAGGAGATATGGTTTCTGGCTTGCACTACATTTTTCGTCTCGCCAGTCATTAGTATTCCAGCTATACTCCAGGACATTGGCTGTAATAGCTGTCTGATGGCAGAGATTGCTATGCAGACCTAGACCACTGGATTGCCTGTCTGCCCCAATTTTGTCCCTTGCAAGTAACCTACCCTGTAGTAAATTCTATTATAATGACTTGCCTGCTTCATTTTTGAGTCTTAAGATATTTCTGTGATTCAGTGTATCTCTACTCCACTGTCAGACATATAGTTTCTGAACAAAGGCACACTTATGTATGCAGTTATTTTAATGTATGCAGCTTTAAACATCATGTCATAAGTCTTTTTTGTTATTACAGTCTTCATAATTATAATTTAAAAAATATATTATTATTGATTTCAAGCCTATCTTATATCACTGCGAGGAAGGGAGAGGGAGATATATAAACATCAATGAAGAGAGAACCATCGATTGGCTGCTTCCTGCACGCCCCCAACTGGAGGTTGAGCCCAAAACCCATGCATGTGCCCTGACTGGGAAGCAAACCAGTGACCTCCTGGTTAATGAGTGGATGCTCAACCACTGCTGGGCCATAATTACAATTTTTAATGGTGGCATAAATTTCATCAGTCTAACATATGTTATATTGACTTACTGATTTACCTCTTAAGAGACAGTACGGTTTAGTGGTTAAGGTACAAACTCTGGTGCGTGGCTTAAATTCCACAGGAGTCACACATTAAGTTAAATGCTATATTAAGTACCTGGCTATATATCTTTTATATATTTTGGAAACTTCTAGTTTTTCTGATAAAAGATAAATAATGATTGTATTGAATATCTTTTTAAAATTTTCTTTATTAAGGTATTACATATGTGTCCTTATTTCCCAATTACTCCCCACTCCCTGTATTGAATATCTTTATGCATTAGATTTTTCCCCCTAATTTTGGAAGATTAAAAAAAATTTGGGGAGAGATTATTGGATCAAAGTTTATGATCAATTGTATGGCGCTTGAAATTATCATCAAACTTTTTTCCCAGAGGGTTATACCTGGGCTACCCCAACCTACTGAGCCCGAATCTTTGAGAGGGGGTGGCTTGGGGAATCTGCACTTTTAGTAAGAAACCCCAGGCGATTCTTACATATATTAAAACTTAAGAACCGTTGGCCTAAAAGTCTCCAGGTCTTTCTTGACTGTTGTTTGCTGCTTTGTTTTGTTTACAACACAAGAATATTAGCTAGTGGCAGCTCTGGCAAAGCAGGGGTGGGGACTACTGAAGGACACAGGCAGGCAGGCACAGCGATGGCTGTCCGGTGCTTGCGGGGATGTGTGTTGGGTTATGGGAAATTTGGGCATTTAAAGTTGGAACCCAATTTGTCTGTTCCAGAAATCTGTTTTATTTCAGCCACTCGCAGGCTTTCTCATCACATATGGTAACGATTTGTGCTTTGAACTATCCATGTTATTCTCTCCCTCCCCCCCCTGCCACACACAGCATATCCTCATGTAGTTAGCCTAGAGATTAACATCAGAAGAGGCAATGATTTTTCCCTCTTGTTTAGAGTGCATTTCTTTGGTTTAAATCTTTCTGAAAATTAAAAGGTAAGAAAAATGCTGCCCGGCTGGCATGGTTCAATGGTTGATTGGCGACCCATGAACCAAGAGGTCACTGGTTTGATTCCTGTCAGGGCACATGCCCGGTTTCAAGCTCAGTCTCTAATAGGGGCCATGCAGAAGGCAGACGATAGATGTTTCTCTCTCTCCCTCTCCCTTCCTCTCTGAAATCAATAAAAACAAATTTTTTTTTTAAAGAAAAAAGTTAATGACACGTTTTCAATAGCAGTCATTGGAATATGTTGTGGGCAATATTGTTCCCTTCTATACTGCAAGAACTATTTTATTTTTTTATTTTATTTTATTTCATTCATTAAGTTGATTGGGGTGATATTATAAGTTTCAGGTGTGGGTCTTTATGTTATAAGATCTGTATATTGCACTGTGTGCCCACACCCAAAGTCAAATCTTCTCCTGTCACCTTATTTTAGGCCCCCCCTTCTCCCCCTATCTCTTTCTCTCTGGCAGTGACCACACTGCTGCTTATGCTCATGGGTTTCAATTTTATATCCCATGTATAAGTGAAATCATATGGTTCTTAGCTTTTTTCTGACTGACTTATTCACTTAGCATAATGTTCTGAAGGTCCATCCATTGCAAAAACTTCTAACATGCTCCAGACATGCTGCAACCTAAGAACAGGCTGCCTTAAACTTCATTTGCAATTCAGTTCAAACTGGGGTATGTTTTCAAGGGGAAGAAAGGTTATTGTAATTATTGCCAAAGTTCCAGAGTGGGAGTCCACAGAGGCCTGCTTAGCAAACACAGAGGTGCGAAAGGCTCACATTGAGCCCTTAGCAGGGAGTGACATCAGGAACCCAGGGAAGCTCAGGTGGGAGTCTCCATGTTTTAGCAAAACAGCAGGGAAGTGGGCTGCTAGCTGCCTCAGAAACCACGACAGGTAATAAATTGGAACTGCCTGTATATAAAATTAAGGATATACGGCATAAAGTATAAAGAATCTATAAAAAATTGAATCCGGCTGGCATGGTTCAATGGTTGAGAATCGACCTATGAACTAGTTCATGCTTTGATTCCCTGTCAGGGCACATGCCTGGGCTCCAGGCTCAATCCCTAGTGTAGGGTGTGTAGAAGGCAGCCGATCAATGATTTTCTCTCATCATTGATGTTTCTCTCTCTCTCTCTCTCTCTCTCTCTCTCTCTCTCTCTCTCTCTCTCTCTCTCTCTTTCTGAAATAAATAAAAAATATAAATTTTTAAAAAGGGAAAATTCACCATAAATTTGAGAGGTTGATGACAGTGGTAAATATCAAAGGACTTTGAGGACCTCTGCCACAGCTTGAATAAAATAGATGAAAGGATGTCTGATGTATGGATTTACTTGTATTTCCTTCAAAATAGTTTATACTTCTGGCTTTCCATTAATTAATGTAGGCATTTGCCAAAGTTAATCCAAATGATCTTTTTCTTTTCAGGGGCCTTGTGGAGAAAAAAGAGATGGAACTGGTTTTAACTAAATTAGAAGCGGCACAGAAAAACTTGGCGCAGAAGTACTGTGTCCTTGTCCTGGGCTTGGGAATGCCCGAAAAGCATCACATGTGCTGCGGGAGGTGAGTGCACACTTAGGATTTCATTCCAGCTTCATCTGTTTGTATATCCACATCCTTAAAACTCTTAAATTTGACTTTTGGTGCCCTGGAGAAAGGTTCCTTTTTTGTTGTACAGAATAATTGAGTTCAGCTGAGGCTCTGCTTCTAACACAAGTGATGTTTCTTTTGAGAAAGCCAAGAAAGTATGGGAAGAATCCCAGAATCTCTGCTGATATTTCAACTACTGCTTGGGTTTAAATATGTCTTCTCTCAGTCCTGGCTGGTTTGCTCCAGTTAGAGCGTCAACCTGGTGACCTAAGGGTCTTGGGTTTGATTCCCAGCTAAGGGCATGTACCTGCATTGCAGGTTTGTCTCTGGCTCCTGTCAGGACACGTGCCAGAAGCAACCAGTCAATGTGTCTCTCTCACGTCAGTGCTTCTCTCTTGCTCCCCTTCTCTTCTCTAAAAAAATCAATGGAAAAAATATCCCCAGGTGAGGATTAATAAGAAGAAAACGTCTTTTCTCTCAGCATATGTCAGATTAATGGAATCTTGTTCTCAACCAGGAAGGCTTCCTGCTGCCACACAAAGGCCACTGGGCTGCCTTGCAAGGGAGACAGAGGGATGGGCCAGTATTTGATGGGTGTGTCCCCTGCCCTTTTCCTGCTTGTTTTCATGCAATAACAGTTGTGGATACAAGCTAGTGAGGTGGTCCTGTTTGTGGAAAGGCAGTTTTTACCGAAGGAAGACAATTTATACACTACAGTAATTAACATTTTAAAGTGTCTTGCCCGGCCGGTGTCGCTCAGCATCCACTCATGAACTAGGAGGTCGAAGTTCCATTCCCAGTCAGGACACATGCCAGGATTTCAGCCTTATGCCCAGTAGGGAACATGTAGGAGGCAGCCGATCGATGATTCTCTCTCATCATTGAGGTTTCTATTCCTTTTTCCCTCTCCCTTCCTCTTTCTGAAAGCAATAAAAATATATTTAAAATTTTTAATTTTTTTTTTTTGCTTTATGCTACTTTTTTTATTCATTCATTTATTTAAATTTATTGGCGTGACATGAACAGATAGGTTTCAGGTGTATGTTTCTATGTTATAAGATCTGTATATTATACCGAGTGCCCACCACCCAAAGTCAGATCTTCTGTCCCCACCTGTGAGGGCTTCCTCAAATAGGACTTGAGTTTATTGCTGTTTATATTGATATATTTTCAGTTCAGGCTCATTTTCTTTGTTTTTGTTTGTTTGTTTTGTTTATACATTAGTTTACCTGTGGTTTTACTTTCTGAGATTTTCATTACTCGTGGTCAACTATGGTCTGAAAATATTAAATGGAAAATTGAAGAAATAAGCAATTCACAAGTTAAGTCGCACTCTGTTCTGAGTATTGTGATGAAATCTCATGCCATCCTGCTCCATCCTGGAATGTGAATTGTCCCTTTGTCCATCGTCTCCACTCTGTATAGCTCCCTGCCCATTAATCACTAGTGTCTCATTCAGAAGGAAGAGCACACTGCTGTCCCCAGGCATAGATTATATTTGCATGGTATAATGATATCTTTCCACTTCTTATTGCACCCAATCACCATAACCATTGTTTATGATTTCTTTTCTTTTTCTTCATTTTAGACTTACCCTCTGGTTGCTTTATTTCCATACCTACTAACACCTTATGTTGCCTCTTGATCATATTTCCACTCCACCCCACACTCACATCACCAGTAGTATTTGGAAGAATACATTTCTTGGCTTGTTTATCCTGAATTATATCAATTAACCTTGGATAAAACACTCCAGTGGTTTCAATCTAGGTAATCTAAGAAGTTGGAGAAAAACACATTGGGACTCATTACCAACGTATCTTGCCAGCACTTATGTGCCTAAATAGTCTTGGGGCAACAGGTATTAATCCTGCAAAGGGACCTTTTGAAGATAAGGATTTATGTAGATCACTGAATATTTGAGCTTCCCTCTCAACTTAGAGTTGTGATCTGTTATATTGCAGGGAGAAAATATCAAATACACAAAAAGACTGGAAATTCTTTGAGGTGAGTCACTTACATTTGGGGCTTTTCTCTTTGATGTAAACTTGAAGGATAGCAATAACTAATAGCCATTTGCCAAGTGCTTATTGATAGTCAATACCCCTTTTCAAAAGGATGCTAACAAACTATTTTTGGTCTAATTTTCCTCCTACAGAGATTAGTACATGTGTAATTTCCCACAGCTTTTTAGGAATGTTGAAAAATTGGATTGTCTGTGTTTACATCTATTAGCAGTTTTATATAGACAGGTGGGGGTTTTTCGTGCCATAGCTCTGGGTTGTGATTCTTGCCTGTTTTCCGTTGTAGTCCTTTTATACTTTCTGTACATATATAGCTTGGATTGTTTTCCGACGTCAACATTTCTCAGAGATTGAGGAAGAAATAGGGAGGCTCTTTCGTACCAATATGTTCAATATTCCTCGAAGGAAGCGTGAGGATGAAGAATCAGGAGGTGAAAAGAAACGCATGACATTTGTACAATTCCGGTATGGCCTTCTAACATTCCTAAGCTCAATAATATTTCTAGAAAATTAGGATGATATGACCTACACGTCACCTTTCCCCCATAGGAGAATGATGGCAAAACGCCCAGCGATTAAAACAGCCATTCACATGCGCTCCCCGGTCATGTCTACTCTGCTGCCATCTCTCAGAGAAAAAGCTCAGAATATCTTTGAGAAAAAGAATCTAATCAGCACCAGATTGCCAGCTCAGATGCAAGAGCACATAGAAAAGATGGAGTCTGTGCCCATGCCAATGTAAGTGCCCACGGAACGAGAAGAGAGGGCCCCGAGGTTGGGCCAGGAAGGGCAGGGGCTCAGCCACCATGCCTCTGCCAAAAAGCTGACCAAAGATGAAAGCACCATCTTCCGGCCCACCCCTGCTCCTTTCCACCTGTTTCCTCTCCAGAGGAACACCCAGTTAGACTAGAAAAGATTGCTAGACATTAAGCTAGTTCTAGTTTGGACAAGGGAGTAGCAGACTGTATAAGGCTGAGGTTTTTCCACTAGAAGAATCATCTTTGGGAAATGTGGGAAAGACTGGCACAAAATCTGGTGTGGGGCTGAGTTTTTGACCCATATTTAAGACCACAGTGGTTCAGGGATACAGGGAATGCTTTAAAAAAAAAAAAAAAAAAAAAAAGCTGTGTGTATACACACAACCACAGCCATACACACCTTAGTCTTTGGTCTTACTGTTTCAGAATTATATACCAATAATTCTTTTCACAGAGTTGGCATTTTGGGGCAGCCTCGATGTCTGTTCAATCCCCATACTCTTCTCCCCCTCGAACCAGAAGAAAACATGAAATCGTCCGGGAGACAATCTTTCCTGATAGAAAAAAACAACATAAAGATTCGGGATACACTGGACTTGGTCATGAAAACGATATCCTCTCAAACATCAGTTGACTTGGTCATGAAAATGCTGTCCTCTCAAGCATCAGTCCCTAAATAATCTGGTACATTCCATTGCTGTAATTAAGTTTGCTTTGTCATTTATTTACCTCCCTGGCTTCTGTGTAACTAGAGTAACATATCAGGACATTTAGCCAGTGTCCTAGTGGACTAGTGAAGAGATATTCTATTTATTAATTTCTAAGTTCATTTTTGCTTTATAACAAAGTGTCTTTGATATGTTTGTAAAAAATTTTATAAAAAGGCAAATTAAATATTTTAAACATTAAATCTCTTTCTATGGCTATATTATTACTGACAGTAAAATATAAAGTATATCTAATTCATTTAAAAGCCTTTTAAGCCAAAACCGGTTTGGCTCAGTGGATAGAGCGTTGGCTTGCGGACTGAAAGGTCCCAGGTTCGATTCCAGTCAAGGGCGTGTATCTTGGTTGTGGGCACATCCCCAGTAGGGGATGTGCAAGAGACAGCTGATTCTCTCTCATCGATGTTTCTAACTCTCTATCTCTCTCCCTTCCTCTCTGTAAAAAAATCAATAAAATATATATTTAAAAATTTTTTAAAAAGCTTTTTAACATATATGTTTCATTAATTCCTTTATTGATTCATTTAACAACAAATATGGATTAAGCCCCTTCTCCATTCAAAGCTTTGTGTTGGGTTATGTAGAGAGAGATCATCATCAAGACGAGGTCATATCCTCCAGGTCTGGGTAGTAGAAAGGATGAGTAAAATGCGTGCCTATTCACAAAACAATACTGAAGATGACAGAGGCCAGAAAGAGGTTAACACTGTGCCCTGAGAAGACAGAGCAGAAGAGCAGTCACTTGGGGGGGGAAAGCACAGTGTTCTGATTGGAATTTGCTGTTGCAAGGACCAGATGGCACTAAGAGGGACTTCCAGTCAGAGGAAGAAGGCATGCAAAGGCAGAGATGAACAGTGTGCTCTGTGGCCAAGGAATGGCACGGGCATGATGTAGGTGAAAGGATGTGGTGGTAGAGCAGGCTGGAAGGTCCAGCTGAGTGTCTGGCTAGGGACTGGAGGGATGCTATTTGGTAGACAGTGAAGATTAGGAATCTCTAGTGAAGCCAGTTCCCTAGGTGGAATACAGAGCTGCTGATTACATAATATTATCATTTTAAAAGTCTTGTAGGCCAAAACCGGTTTGGCTCAGTGGATAGAGGGTCTGCCTGGAAGGTCCCAGGTTTGATTCTGGTCAAGGGCATGTACATCGCTTGCGGGCACATCCCTGGTAGGGGTGTGTGTAGGAGGCAGCTGGTCAATGTTTCTCTCTCATCGATGTTTCTAGCTCTCTATCCCTTTCCCTTCCTCTCTGTAAAAAAATCAATAAAATATATTAAAAAATAAATTAAAAATGCAAGTCCTGTAGGAGTTTAGCCAAGTGAAACAACTGCACCGAATTTACCTTTCTGTGCCACAGGATATCATCAAACTCTAACGTCCTTATAGCGTTTAGCTAAAAATTCATTCATTCCATAGAGAAAACTGGATACCTTTCCCAGGTGTAATACCGGGAGCTGAGGAACGCCAGCTTCAGACTATTGGTCATGTGGGGCAGGTTCTGTTAAACCTACTCTGTCTTCACTCATCCTTTATTATCCTTTATTATCCAGGTTAGTTTCTATTTCTCCTGTTAAAACGGCAAAGTTTCAGTCAAAATCCAGGATTATAAATTAACCCTTGCCGGACTTTTTATTTATGTAGAGAATTTGGTTATAATGCACTCTTTCATAACCCATTTTTATCTAGAGCATGTTGACATGGTTTCATTTTTGTTTCTTGTTTTTGCTATTTTTAACAAATACAGCCTGGAAATTGTGAGACTTTTATACTGTCTTTACGAGGGCACTGGGCTTTCTCTGGCTCCTTTCTGAACTGCAAGACTGGTGTACTTCATTTATTAATGCTGTCTTTTGTTTATTAATTATTTCACTCTACAATTACTATGTCCCCATTCTGTGCTGTGCACCACGTTTGGTGCTGGGAACTCAGTGTGGAAAAAATATAGTCAGCTCTGACTTGGAACTGACAATTCTTGGGAGGAAGACAGACAGGAAACAAATATTTAGATAATGAATTAATTGTAATAGTGATGAGTGTGGCAAAAAGAAGAGAATGCTATGAGCGTATATAATCGAAGACTTGCTCATATGTGGGGGATTGTCAGAAAGGGAAAGTCATTCCTGAGGAAGTGACATTGAAATCTGAGACTTGAAGACACATAGCAATTAAAGAGGTGGGAAGTGAGTAGGAGGATATTCCTGACTGTATTAGCTATCTATTGCTGCACAACAAATTACCCCGATAAACAGTAACATTTATTTGTTATCTCACAGTTTCTAAGGATTAGGTATCTGCGTACAGCTTAGATGAATCCTCTGAGTCGTCACCTCTCAAAAGCTTTCTAAGTGTCAACTCGGTCTGAAGTCATCTAAAGGCTCAGTTGGGGTTGATCTGCTCCCAACATGACTTAGTGGTTGTTGGCAGGATTAAGTCCCTGATAGACTGTTGGACTGAGGCCTCGGCTCCTCATAAGCTACTGGCCCAAGGTCTCCCTCAGTTCCTTGCCTCTCCATAAGGAGCTTATAACATGTTGGTTGATTTTATTAGAATGAAGGAATATGAGAGGGAGAGAAAGTGCAAGAAGTTACAGTCATTTACAACCTAATATTCGAACTGATGCCGTCACTTTTGCTCTGTTGTATTCATTAGAAGCAAGTCACAAGCACACCTCAAGGGGAGGGGACCACACAAGGCGGAGAATACCAGGAAGTGGGGATCATTGGGGTCCATCTTAACAGCCAGCCTGCCACACTGGCAGGGGAAACATGCAAAGCTCCTTCAGGTTGTGGTGTAGAGAGGAAGGATAGAAGGATGAGATGTGGCTGGAGAACAGGCAGGAGCCCTGTCCTGGAAGGTTCTGTAAGTGCAGTATGGATTTATAGATCCAGGAGGCGTGTTGCAATTTGGTTGTTCAGTTTGTGCCTTGCACAAAGGCACCAGTGAAGGGCACAGATGGGGTGAAATTCAAGTACATATCTCAGCCTGATTCTAGTTCTCTTCAGGGGAAGTCCCTGTTTGTAACTCCCAAGTCAACAGCCTTAAATTGAAGCCCTTTGATGGTTTTTCTGAAGGTGCATCATTAGAGCTTACCAGGAGGGTTCTCTGTTTATTTAAAATATTCAGCAATTAAGAGAATGAAAAGACAAGCTACAAGCTGAAGAAAATATTCGCACAACGTAACTGATAGAAAACTAGTGTGCAAAATATAAAGAGTACTCTTAAAATTCAACAACAAGAAAACAAGCAATCCAATGGAAAATAGGCAAAAGATATGAACAGACACCTTACCAAAGAAGATATACACATGACAGATACGCAGACGAAGAGATGCTCACCATTATTTGTAACCAGGGAATGCAAGTTTTAAAAGCATGAGGTAACATTGCATACTTATTTAAAACAACAACCACCGACAATACGAAATGCTGGTGAGGATGTTGAACCACAGGAGCGCATTACTGGTGAGAGTCAAAACGATGCAGCCACCTTAGAAGACGGTTTCGAAGTTTCTCAACTTATGTTCCTTATTCGTATCTTTTGCTTATTTCCCTATTAATAGACTCCATATTGATCTCTTTTTTTTTATTGCTTTATCATTCTTTGAAGAAATTGCAAAGGTTTCTACAAGAAAAACAGGTTATAGAAAAGTTGAATATACTAATCCTTGTCCAGTGTTTAAAAAAAAAGCTCACTCTCACCACCAGGATAACTTATAATTGTTAATGTTTTGTGAACCTTTTTTCAGTCATTCGTGTGCATATTCACCCAAACAAAAATGGGGTCATGCGCGTGCCCTTGCTTGCATCCTCTCTCCTTCACATAGTAATATGTTGTGAACATTCTCCTTCGTCAGCTAGTCTCCCTGAGACATGATTTTAACTGCTCTGTGGTATTTAGGGGATGAATAGGTCACAGTGTCCTTGCCCAGTCTCTCCTTTTTTGTCACACACATATTGCCACCCATACTACTGGCCATTTTCTTAGGATAAAGCCCTGCAAATCACATGGCTGGGTCACAGAGCACACTTTTTAAAAAAAAAAATTTAAAAAAAGTATATTTTATTGATTTTTTACAGAGAAGAAGGGAGAGAGATAGAGAGCTAGAAACGTTGATGAGAGAGAAACATCGACCAGCTGCCTCTTGCACACCCCTTACCGGGGATGTGTCCCACAACCAATGTACATGCCCTTGACCGGAATCGAACCTGGGACCTTTCAGTCCACAGACTGGTGCTCTACCACTGAGCCAAACTGGTTTCGGCCACAGAGCACACTTTCTCAAGAGCTTACTATTGCCCAGTTTCCTCCCAGAGGGCAAGCCCGAAAGCACACCACCTCCATCTGTGTGGGAGAATGCTCACTTCCTCACTTGGGCGTTATTATGTCTTTGAATCTTTGCATATTCTATGGTAGTGAAAAATGGAATCGTGTGCTTGTTCTGCGTTATACTTCCAATTACCAGTAAGGATGAACACTTCTTTATGTTGGCCCTTTGTGTTCTCATTGTGTGAATGATGTAACTTATTCATATCCTTTATTTTCCTAGAAATATACTCTCTCTCTATTTTTTTTATTGCTTTGTCATTCTTTGAAGAAATTCCAAAGGCTTCTATGAGAAAAACGGGTTACAGAAAAGTTGAATATAGTAAAATCCCTTGTGTGTAAAAAACACACATATATGGGTAATAAGACTGGAAGGAAATAACTAAATTATTAATAGCGATTCTGAGAAGTAGGATTATGGATGATTTTTAAAAACATTTATTTGCCTACATGTTTTTTTAAACAATATACATATTTTTAAGTGTATTTCTTGCATAGTGGTGACATCCATGCCCACCCAGCAGTACACAGGTACCTCATGCCTATGAGCAGAAGATATGAATAGGTAATTAGCCACAACAGTAGAA